TATACACATTGCTTACCTCTATATAGTCCTCTGGTACCAATCCGACTTCTCCTTTGGAGTTCTTTGCCTCAATCCATCCTCCACCAATGTTCTGAGAACAGAAGAGAATGGTTCACCTTTACAGAGAAGGTTTTGATCCGTTCATACACATGCAACAACTCATGGAGACATGACATGGAGACAACAGACATGGAGAGCCAGGTGTTATGAAACCTAATGAAAGTAAAAAACTCACCTGGTTGGTTATTGTGATTGTCTCACCCTCTCGAATCGACAGCTCATTATTCCCAGGCTCTGCCGCAAAATCATATAAAACCTGTGCCTGTGTGGAGACTAAACATGCGTAAGTAAACACATGCATATACAGACACCAAATGTATTAAGCTATCATTAATGATTAATAGAACAGAAACAGCTAAACTTGTTTGACTGGATTTTTTTGGACACCATTAAATGCTCATGCATTTAGCATTAACCTGTTTAACATTTAACCAACACTGTTTCTGGAATTATTTTACATGTATTATATAATCAATGAATTAATGTCTTTTCACATGAACAAATGTCACCATTGCAAATTGGTGAATCACACTAAAACTGTCAAGGTCTCTGGGCCATTTTTTTTTAGCACAAAATCATATAAAAACATTAAATTATATATCATGTAAAGAAATTGAAGCTTATTATTTTGACCATTGCAATTTTTGCATTTTGATTTAAGACAATTAATCATATTTTTCCCCAAATCACACTTCTGAAATGACAAAACCCTCATTTTCCTTACTATAATGCAATAAATAAATAAATAAATTATAATATTAATTAAATTTAAGAAGATTTCTCATGTACAAGCGAGTATACATTATGGTAGTATTTTCCGAATTTTATTAATGCTGAGTTTAATTTAACAAAAAATATTTTTGTTTAGACAGGATGGTTTTCCAGTAATAAGAATTTGGGGGTTAAAGTTTCTAAAAGTCACTTTATTAATTCATTTTTTTATGCAGTCTTATTTCCTATTTTTTTTTTCTTTCCTTTTCTTTTGGGGTGGATTATAACCTGGGGGGGGGGGTAATAAAAAGCACACAAATGGTCACAAAGCAGAATCAATTCCACAGTTCATTAAGAAAAAAACACTTTCCACAAAGCTCCCGTTATTCTAACACACACAGAGCCAACACAGAAACACACACACATCCTGAAGCTATCGAACGGCAAACAGTGAGGTCTGTATGAACAGTGAGACAGGCTCTCTCTATGTAAGAATTTACAAGCCACGACTCCTAAATGCTCAGACATAGAGAGTCTGTGTGTGAGAGAATTCATTTCTGATTCAAATGAAATACAGATGTTATACAGGACAGATCACAAACCGTCTGATGTCATAAATGTGCATAACCATTTACACAAGTCTTCCAGAGAAACAAAATGAAGTGATGATAAAATAAAAATTATGATATGCAAGACATCCTCATATAGACAGTCAAGGGAGCAGGACTAAATTAAGGACTGGGTGACTATATGAAAACTGAAAATAATAACTAAACAAAAAATAAAGCTAAATTAAAACTGAAAGTAAATCTAAATCAAGTCAAGTCATCTTTGTTTGTATAGTGCTTTTTACAGTACAGATTGTGTCAAAGCAGCTTCACAGTGATAAACAGGAAAAATAGCAGAATCAGTTATTGAGTTCAGATTCTGCTGTAAAACAACTCTAAAAGATGATTGTTCAGATCAAGTCAGTTTAGTGTTGGTTCATTTTAAATCACTAACAGTGTGAATTTCATTGAATTATGAAGTGAATTCAGTTCTACAAAATGCTTTAGTCAGATCAGATTGAGTTCAGTTCAATAATAGTGTCAATAATCCAAGTTTTCACTGTCTTAAATTAGTTTTACAGGTATTTTTTTAATTAAATGTTTTAATTAATAGTATTTTTTAAACAGAATTTCCCTTTTTTTCCCATTAATAAAATTAAGTGCCTGTTGTTTTACAGATATAATATAAAGTTTTACATTTAGAATTGTAGGTAAATTAATCATACTTTGAGATCACATAAATATTATTGTTTTAAAAGTTAATTTATAGTATTTTTACAGATAAAAACAGGGTTTCTGCAGGATTTTTAAGCTCAAATTTAAGACCTTTTTAAGACCTGCACAAATAAAATTAATACCATATAAGCCGGGTAGGGCAATGTCTATAGTACCATACTAAACTGTACAATTACTGTAAAGCATAACTTACAGTTCAGATACAAGTTTTCACAAAAACAAAACGTTTTATAAAATGATAAACTTTACATTTCAGCATTTAAACCATTTTTAAGAAAACAGATGAGTCAAAAGTATGTTATTATATTAATTTAAACAATTATTATCAATAAATTATTATATCAATTAAATAACATAAATTAGGGGTGTGCGATATTGACAAAAAATGATATCTCTATAATTTTCTGGGATTTTATCGATAACGATAATTAGACAATATTTTGCTGAGTGTGTTATTGTGCTGATATCTTATCTCTCTACGCCAAGTTTGTTCATTTAAATTTATTCAGTTTTAGCATTTAATAATTTATTTGTAATAATCTCTGAAATGTAAATTGTAAGTGGGATATAATTATAATCCCATGTTTATCTTTATAAACATGATTAATTTTACTTGTGATGTTTTCTATATGGGATGATTAGCCTAATTCTCATGAACATGTGACGCTAGCGCGTGGTATCAGACACGAACTATACAGAATGCGAACAAGATTAACTTTAATACAAGGAGATAATGGCGCAAAAGCGAATTTCAGATTTTTTTACCCCCCAACCCCCCCCCCTTCACCCAACACGGACACACACAGCACCCCCAACCGAAAACATCTTCCCGCGCCCTGAAAGTAACGCAAAAGTAACGTAACGCATTACTTTCCATAAAAAGTAACCAAGTAACGTAATTAGTTACTTTTTTAGGGAGTAATGCAATATTGTAATGCATTACTTTTAAAAGTAACTTTCCCCAACACTGCCCAGCACTATCTCAGATTCCATCAAAAATATCTTAATTTGTGTTCCGAGGATGAACGGAGGTCTTACGGGTTTGGAACGACATGAGGGTAAGTAATTAATGACAGAATTTTAATTTTTGGGTGAACTATCCCTTTAAGCAATGACGTGCATTTATATGCACATAAATGGCTATATATGATAGACTCTCATTAATAGGCTCCATAAGACTAAATATATTATCCCAAGGAGAATTTATATTCAGAAACCTAAGCTCTCACTTATATGGATAATTAGTTAGTGTGCTGGTTCTATGATTAACTAAACTTGGTGAATGATTTACATTTCAACTACATATCCCAGCATGCATTGCACATGACGTCATGGTCTCACTAAAATGTCACAAGACTCTTAATGATCCATATTTTCCAACGTTCACCAAAAAGCCCTCAAACATCGTTAAAATAATCAAAAGAGATCTTTTAGACCCATTTCAGGGTGTTAAACAGGTCAGTTATGATGCCTGTGACGATTATAAACACTTAAGGGCAAATATATCGGCGCGTTTGGAAACACTTTGCCAGTGCAAAGTGCAAAGAAATTACAAACATATCAGTCACAAACTTTAACCAAAAATAAGTCAAATAAGTCCTTACCTTCGTCTCCATTATACCCACATTAACCAGTCATTACAGAAACCTGCAGTTTGATGGCGACAAACTCTCTCTTCTTCATCCAGACATTTTTCTTCTGCCAAAAACAATCCTTCTCAAACCGCTTTCTTTACTTCACCAAATACACTTTACTCTTTTGTCCGAACCTAACAGACTCAAATGTAGTGGAGTCAGAAAAGTGTGTGAATCCAAACTCGACGTTTCCAGCGTTTATGTGCTGTTCAACTTCACTGCAGCTGAGTGTGTTACACATAAGAGACACAACCGGAAACAAACTCACTGATCGAGTGGCCTGAAAAAAACTCACACTGCTGCTGTATGCCTGTGTAGGACGTAAATTTACGTCCGTACAGTAGAATGCAGAAGAAGAAATTTCAACACACTTCAGCAGTAAAAAAAGACGCACAAATGTTTGTCTAGAGTAATTTTTGCTTACTAGTATGGTTGAACTGGATCATCGAAGGTCAGAAACAAAGACATTGGTTAATAGAATGGGATTACATAAAGGATATTTGTGTTGTTTAACATAAAAAGTAATCTGATTACGTAACTCGCGTTACTTGTAATGCATTACCCCCAACACTGTATATATATATATATATATATATATATATTATTCAAAATAATATGACACATAAAATGTATGTAGTGTATATAATTCATTAACACATGACAAATATTTATCGTTATTATTATCATATAGTATAGGCCTATTAAATTAAGTATTAATATACAGTATCCTATACTTACACATATCGAATATACTCCAGACATTTAGGATCACATAGACTAATAATAAAAACAAAAATGTCTTATGTAAATAAAGTAGGTATAAATACAAAAACAATGTTGCTGTTTTGTTTTGTTCAAGTAGATATTTAAGCTTTTGTGCCCATAAATGTTTTAATTTATGTCTGTGTCCGCTTTTTTAACTTTTGTCAAGTTCAATCTGAGAGGGGCGGGCTGAAACGACAGATGTGTGAGTTTAGAGCGGCCTCTAGTGGAAATGTGTAGTATTTTAAAAATACATGACAGCGGTGAAAACACTGATCTATAATAATTATATTACGTGTTTGGAACGACATGATGAAGGTGAGTAATTAATGACAGCATTTTTATTTTTAGGTGAACTATCCCTTTAAGTGTATTAGAATTTCTCATATTCTCACCTGTTTGATATACAGACCATTTTGTCTCATTTTAAATGTTTTATAAAACGTGATGCCTGCTTAAAACTCACAGACACAGCCTCTGCCACTTTGCCCAATATCCCACTGACAGGGTGCAGAATAACAGCTAATAATAATGGATAATTTTGTACAGGAGAAGCTGAAAGAATGGAACTTGGATGTCCTGACACCAAGCTTTAAGGTAAACTTTATTTAGGTAATATGAAAATGCACTTCTTTATATTTTCATTATAACCCATTGTGCTCTGGGTAAGCCCGTTTTCGTACATTCTTCTCTTTTTGTGTCTTTTCTTCTCTCTTTTTCTCTTTACAGATGAACAAATTGATAAAGAAACCCTCCTACTGCTTGATGAAAAATCACTTGAAGCAATGATACCAAAGATAGGCCTACGTCTGAAAGAGAGAGCTGCTTGTTGTGAGTGAAGAAATGCACATGGTGGGATATATCTGCTTTAAGTGCAAAAAGACTGTTGGGGCCGATGTTCGTTTTTTGTTTTCTCACCTAAGGAGAATGCATAATGTACATAGTTCATCAAGTTATTTTGAGTGTGGCCAAGCCAGGTGTCACAGGACATTTAATTAAGATCATTTAAGCAACATCTGCTCCAGCACCATGTAGAGGCAGAAGAATCCAGCCAGTCAAAACACTTGACAGCAGACCTCTGACTTCTCACAGTCAGCCTTTCGAGGAGGAAGATAATGCTGCCAAAGATAATGTTGCTAATGGTATGAAATGGGATGAGTTAGAGCAGAACACTATCACAGACAGAGTGGCCTTGATTCTATCAAAGTGGATGGCAAAAACATCTATGACTCTGTCTACTGTCAACTTTGAAGTTCAGCAAACATCTAGTCTGGTCTTTGATATTGTTATTGTGCTTTACAAAGACAGACAATGTCTTCCTTACAAAGAATGGCCAAAGTGAGACTCCTGAAGGCCAACAGCTGAATCAGCAATTTGCAAATGCAGCTAAACCTTTGCAATTGCATTGCTTGGATACTGAACACAAGCAGATGAAATAACTTTGTTCAAGCTGGGTATCTAGTTCAGCCAGTGGAGCAACCTCTCCCTGGTGTCTCATACACCCAAGGGATTCACAGACATGGACTGTAAAACAGGTGGCAGTGCAGGATACTTTCCAAAGGTTTCCTTTATGTCCATTACTGAAACTCATTCTTGAGACTCCAGGGACAATGGAGAAGATAATGGAGTGGAAAGGGGAGCTTAATGACTCAAAAAGTGGCTAATCCACTAGGCTCCAAGAACTCAATCCATAAGTTGGAATTCATCTATTTCACTCTTAAATGTCTTCCTCCAGAGTCCCTTTCGAGTCTTGATTCTCACTTTATAAGGCAGATGATGCCAAAACGTATGGTATAGATGCTGTCCTGAAGTCAGTTGTTGATGATATCAGTGACCTGGAAACAAATGGTGTGGAAGTAGACACGGCTCACTTCAAAGGCACAATGAAGGTTTGGGTTGCCCACATTTGTGGGGATAATTTGGGGCTAAATTCAATCCTTGGCTATACAGATAGTTCCTCTGGGAACAGTGCTTGTCACTGGTGCCATGTGAAGAAACAGTTCATGCAAACACAAACAATGAAAGATCCTTCACTGCTTAAGAATAAGGATAGCCATCTTTCAGATCTGGTGCAAAGTAATCCAGCAGAAACTGGCCTAAAAAGACAGAGCATTTTGAACAACCTGAAATACTTCCATGTGACAGAAAATGTATCCCCCTGGAAGGAGTAGGTGCATATGAAATTAAATTGGTATTAGGCTCTCTCATCTCACAGAAAGTAATAACCTTACACCAGGTTAATTACCAAATCACAAGTTACGATTATGGCTTCTGTGACTATATGCCAACAAGCCATCCACAATCCAACCTCAAGAACTAAAAATGCCTGACAGTTTGATGAAGCAGACAGCAGCACAGATGTGGCTGTTAAGGCTACTTCCTTTGATGATTGCACATCTCATTCCAGAGGGAAACAAATACTGGGAGCTCTCGCTGCTTTTGTTGACCTGTATGGAATTTTTTTTTCTCCAGCCTTAACAGAAGATGCATTATTATTTCTCAGACATCTCATTGATGAGCACCACAGCCTTTTCCTAGAACTCTTCCCTGATAGACATCTAAAGCCAAAACATAATTTCATGCTACATCATCCAGGTGCCATAAGGAGACTGGTTCTTCTGGTGCACTACTGGTCCATAGCATGTTTTTTTTTAAAAGGCCAAGCATGTTTTTTTTTTTAAAGGCTTTCCCACGTCACATGCAACTTCAGAAACCTTTTGTCTGAAAACATATTTGCACATCACAAAGACCTTGGTTCTGGTTGCACTACTCCACTTGCTTCCATTGAGGAATTTGATCAAGTCTGCCACAGATTTGAGCATACTCCATCATTGACTGAAGTGTTCGTACCCTCTTGGGTGAAGTGGAAAAGGACAGAATATCGTCCAGGAACGACCCTCCTTGTTTCTCATTCTCCAGATGGTGAACCTCAGTTTGGAGCAATTCAGAAGATTGTGGTTTTTAAGTCTGTCATCAAGTTCATTGTTAGGAAATGGGACACAGTTGGATTTGAAAGACACTATTTTGTATGCTGTGTCCCCATTATGTTCTATGTTCCCACTACTGTCATTGATTCCATTGATGTTGACTCCATTGATGATTATCATCCTCTCCATGTAGTGAGGTCATACAAGGAAGGGGACAGCAACCACTATGTGTTCTTTCGAACTTCCAAGGACCACGTTTTTTTTTTTTTTTCATTGATTTATTTTTGGACTGTTTACACACCTGTGCAGAACTTTGGAGATGCAAGCTTTTTCCCCGAAGGAGGCAATCTTTAATTCATAATGTTTGTGTTTTACCATGCTTGGAGTAAGTATATGTAGAATATAGTACAATACTACACTATTCGCAAATAAAGCTGGCATCCAAGCACTATTATGTGTAGAATAAATGTCAGTATGAAAAATGCATGCCATATTGTAGCTTTATATTTGTTATAAGAAATGAAACCATGTCAATGTACTGTAGGTAACCCTTTTTTCCATGCATTTTTATAGGAGCCACGACTAGAGGAGACCCAAAGTGGATCAACTTCCGGACCTCCTGTAGACCAACAACGTCAAGCAGAAAATCAGATGTCAGTGGAGGAAGTGCCAACATTTGTATGTGTTATTGTCTTTATGTACTTCAAAGTAATTTACATAAAAGCATTTACATTTACATTTACAAAATGTAACAATGGTTTTACTAATTTATTCATTTATTTTATTTGTGTGTAGTATGTTCATGAGCAAAAACAAATCAACTGTCAAATGGAAAAGTAAAAGGAATTTGCACTAATGTTAAAGGGATAGTTCCCCCCCCCCCCAAAAATTGAATCTGTCATTAATTAATCACTTTCATGTTGTTCCAATCCCCTAAGACTTTTGTTCATCCTCAGAACACAATTTAAAATATATTTTTTAAAATATTAAAAAATATTTTTAATATATTTTTTTAAATATTAAAATATTTTATTTTAAAATAGTTTCTGTCCCTCCATTGACAACCTAAGCAACTTTCACTTTGAAGGCCTATAAAGGTAGTGAAAACATCATGGAAGTAGTCCATGTTGCTCCAGTGGTTCAACTGGAATTTTCTGAAGCGGCAGAAATGTTTCTTGTGCGCCAAAAATACAAAAATAATGACTATATTCAAATTTCTTCACCCTAGAGAACAACCTACAATTTGCTAAATTTCAAGATCACTGCTTAGTCTTATTTGAAGTTATCCTAACAAGAGTAGAAGGGAAGATTTTTAAACATATTTCATAAATTAATTGTATTCTGAAGCACAGTATAAAAAGAGATTTTTGAAAAAGAACTGATCAAAATTAGAGAACACTTACAGATACCTCCAAGTTATTGGTGTTAATCTGTCACATGGAGCTAATTTCCTTAATTATATGACAAACCCTATTTAACTGGCAGCATTCCTCGAATTTTCTTTGAGATTGCAAGATGGTGGGCGCCGCTCTATGGTGACTGAAACCCTTTATTTAACAGGAGGCAGTCCAGATGAAGGCCAAAGGGATGACCCTTTCAGCCACTGCAAGAGAAGTTGGTCGTTCCAAATCTATGATTTCTAGAATATTGCAGCTTTACAATGACACTAATTCATTCAAGTCCCCCAGAAAGGCTGGTTGTCCACATAAGACAAATGCATAAGAAGACAGGATAATGTGGAGACTCTCAATGGGGAATCGGTTCAACACTGCAGCTGGAATTGCTCAGCAGTTCAGCGCTGAACAGGATAAGGATCTGTCTCGGCACATTTAAGAGAAGTCGGACTGAATGCGCACTCGGCAGTGATGAATCCTCCCATCAGCAGAAAGAATCAAAAGGCTACAAATGCATGAGAAGACCGGATAATGCGAAGACTCTCAATGGGAAATCAGTTTAACACTGCAGCTGGAATTTCTCGACAGTTCAGTGCTGAACAGGGTATGGATCTGTCTCGGCATGTTTAAGAGAAGTCGGACTGAAAGCGCACTCTGCAGTGACCAAGCCTCTCATCAGTAGAAAGAATCAGAAGGCTAGACTAACCTTTGCTGAGGAGCATGAGAGGAGAACTGGTCCAAAGTTCACTTTAGTGATGAGAGCAAGTTTAATTTATTTGGGTCAGATGGGAAACATTATGTTCATTGTCAAACTGGGGAAAGACTGAACCCTTAATGCATAAAGAAGTCAGTGAGAGGTGGAGGAGGAAGTGTCATGGTTGGGAGAATGTTTTCAGCAGCGGGTGTTGGGCATCTTATACAGATACATGGCAGGGTGAATGTTAATGTTTATCAGAACCTCCTTTAGCAACATGCAGTTCCTTTCCTGCAAGCGTCTCCCAATCAGCCTGTAATTTTCATGTAAGACAATGCCCCCGTCACACTGCAAAACGGGAAAAGCAGTTCCTTGAAGCTAAGAACATTGAAATAATGAAATGGCCAGTCCAGAGTCCTGATCTAAACCCAACTGAAAATCTCTGGAAAATCCTTGGCGACAAAGTTATGGCTAAGAAACCCATACAGTCACTGAACTATGGAAGAGAATGGAAGAAGAGTGGACCAAGATCACACCAGCGCAGTGTGAGAGAAGTCCTTGTGCTGAAGTCCTTCAAAGCAAGAGCCTCTACAATTCCTACTAATTTCGAACAGCTGTAAATGTTAGTTCTAATCTTCTTTCATGCTACAGTGGTTACAGTTCTCTAATTTTAATCTCTGTGTTTCCCACAAAATAAACGTTTTTTTGTTGAAATGCTTTGGTGATTTTGTCAAACATGTTAGTAGAACAGTGGTATATCCACAGATAATATTTTGAGCGATGAAGATGAACAATATTTCAGAAAAAAGTATTTATAAAAAGTATTTATAGATTGTTCTCTAATTTTGATCTCCACTATATATAGTTATTAATGAATAAATATTTATGCATATAGAGCCATCTAGAGGAAAACAGAAGTATTTCTTGAGCACTTTATGACCAATGATTCACACACACACACACACACACACTTTTTTAATGAAAAGAACATGAAAAGTGCTTTTAAAAGTTGACCGCAATCTCTTTTGTGATGCCTTTATGTTCAGTGTTTCCAATAATACACCCCAAAGCATGTGTCTGATAACAGTCAAAGTCACTTACAGTGGAATTATAACTAAATGCTACCTTGGAATTATAATGTCCTATCTGCATTCTGAGCGGTTTTGAGATATTGAGCTCAAATTTTTTGCACTCCATATACTTTGTAGATAGAACCTTTTTATTTTCTAAATAAAAAGTCCCAAAATGTACAACTACACAACACACACACACACACACACACACACACACACACACACACACACACACACACACACACACACACACACACACACACACACACACACACACACACACACACACACACACACACACACACACACACACACACACACACACACACACACACACACACACACACACACACAAAACACCACATCACATAATGTAAATAAGTATCACAGAATAAGAATGTGAATAACTAAATTTTAACAAAAATCTCAGAAAGAACCTTATAATTCCAAGGTGACGTGATTTTAAATTATTTTGATATTATGTTCTTTATGTTCTTGACTCAGATTCATATTTCCAATTTAGTTTATATTTTATATTATTCTTATATTTGGGTTTCTTAGTCTTTCACATCCTCAAGACTGAGATTGATAACTGTCACTTACAGTGGAGTTAGAAATAATTTTAGATTCTTATGATTTTTTTAAATATTTTTTCATTCATATATGTATTTCATATATTAGTTAGTTCAATGAGTATCTAATATGAATTCTTATATTTGTTTTTTTTTCAGCAGCTGTAAGCTGGGATACTTTATTAGTCTGATATAATTCAAAGTCTACTTGTGTATTAGACTAATAAACAAGATGTTCTAAAATATGTACATTTTGGTAAAAAAAAAAAAAAAAGAGATATTCTTGTGTCTTGAACTATTGAGATTCAAAATGTTAAACTGATAGTCCAGTTTAACTGGATTGGGAACTGTACATCAAAAACACCTATTGCCATGCACACGTACATGCTTCATTTCTCTTTCTTTTCCATGTTCAGGACCGTCATGCTGTGGGGAAATCAATGCCTGTGGTTGACCAGCAACAGAACTACAAACTCTTGTCTCTGACCGAGTCTGATGGAAAAACAGTCATGAAGTTTCAGAGGTCCATCGGTTCCTGTGATGAAAATGACTTACCCATCACTGTGAGCCTGCTTAACCATTGTCTTTTATATTCATTACAAAGGGAAAGTAGTTCAACACCAGCAATATAATCCTCCCCTTTCATTGTTTGTAAGATGTCGTTTTATCCAGAAAACAATGATGGTGGAACTATGGCATTACAAATAATACCAGCTATGTAAAGGAATCCACACAATGTTAGGTCCACTGGGATTAGGGTGTTTCTGAGAACTCCCCTCTCTGAACAAACTGCTGACCTTGTTTGTCAAGGAGCTCTCAGCTGCACATCAAAAACCCTCCTTAAACTGAAAACATGGACTGTCTTTTTGAACTTAAAACCTCTGAAATTCCAGATCAAAAATGAGTTCTCAATAGCCACATACACACTGCAAACTTTTATGAGTGACAACCGCATTTTAGCTACAGTGTGCATGTGGTTAATTTTTGTTTATTTTATTTTATAAGTGTTTATTTTTATTTATCAGAACCTCCCCATGAAGCTGATCTATGCATATGGACAGAATGATAACATCACGTACCACAGTACTCGAAGGGGCAGGAAGGAGTTGAACCTGTTGAAGTACATGCCTCGGGTCAACCCTCCAAACAGCAGCTTTTTTGACATAACTATGGTCAATGTAAGAAAGATTTTTACTTTGTTGTTTTGCTGTTCTGTCTGTAAACCCAAGAATGAAGTTCAAAAGAACAGCATTTATTTGAAACAGAAAAATATTTTGTAACATTTTAAATGTCTTTTCTGTCACTTTTGGTCAATTTAATGTGTCCTTGTTGAATAAAGGATTCATTTCTTTTAAAAAAATAAAATAAAATCTTACTGACCCCATACTAGTGTACCTCATAGTGGTTTGCATAGATTATATTATAGGTTGATCTCTTTAAAGTGCTAATGAGCTTTTACATATGAACTTTACATGTTGATTACATTTACAATCATTTCAGTTCACTGTACCAGCCAAACAAACCCACTATCACTGCAAGATCATGAGAGCCCCGACATTTGATCGCAAACAGCACATTTATCGCGTAAGTGAGTCTATGAACTTCACACAAATGATCTGTCCAGCTATCTGTCAGTCATGGTTCATCTTCGACTTATTTTCATTATGTCCAGATTGAGCCGGTGATCACAAACTTTGACCTCGTGCATCATCTGCTGCTGTACCGCTGCCCTCTGACTGTGACGGAGCCGTTTGAGGCGGAGTGTTTTACTGGGGTGGATAGAGAGTGTATGGAGACCGTGGCTCTGTGGGGAGTTGGTGGAGGGGTTAGTCTCACCTGTGACGTTTTAAGGCATTTTTAATGTGAGGGGGAAAAAATTAAGCCATTACTTACTTGAATGAACTGTTAACCACTGCGACCAGATTACGGATCCGAGAATCGGATCACTTTGATTATTAAGCGAGTCATTCAGACCGGGTAAACGGATTCAACTAGTTGATTAAAAGATCTACCTCAAAATAATAATTATTTTTCAGCTTTTATTAACAACGGTAATTATTGAAATACTATTCATGTGTAAACTTTCTTAATGAGATAAAATTACAGATTGAACCTTTAAGTAACCTTTTAATTATATGTTTTTAAAGGCTTTTGAATTTCCTGAAGTGGCAGGACTTCCAATTGGAGGAAATGTTGGTGATTTTTTCTACAGGCTTGAAGTGCATTACAACAACCTCAATAAAAGTGCAGGTCAGTCAGCAGCGGGTTACAATGTAAAATATCACACTGTAATGAATATTTCAGGTCTTTTGATGCGATAAAACAATACTTTCTTCCCTGCACAGATCGAGTTGATAACACAGGTCTGCGATTCTATTACACATCTGAACTCCGTCAGCACGATGCAGCTGTTCTGATGACAGGGCTTGCGGTGGCCCCTGGCTACGCCATCCCACCCAAAGCCAAATCCTTCCTCACGTACGGCCTGTGTGACACTGCTTATATTCCAAAGGTTTGTGTGTATGTTGATCTACTCACACTCTCACGATCAGATCCAGCAGATGACTGGATGATCTGTTGTGTTCTGTGCTCTACAGGTTCTGGAGACGCCACATGATCTTCAGGTGTTCTCTGTGATGCTGCACACACACTTGGCTGGACGGAAGGTGCGAGTCGGTCACTTCAGGTAAATGTTTTTGACCAATGACTGACTTAAAGAAATAATTCACTTGATATAATAATCTGTAGGCTTTTCTTTCTTCTGTTATTCATAAGTTACTGTAATTAATTAC